TAAAGTGATGCAACAGCTTAGGAAATATTGGATGTGCCCCTTGTCTTGAATATTTTATGTATAATGAATGAAGAGTCAAAATCTTCCACTGAGTCAGGAAGCACTACTTTCTGCCATGACGTCACCATTTTGTTTCAATATTTAAGAATCAAATTACTTTCTGGAGAGGAAAGTTTTACTTTTCTTTGTATGCCTCAAAGTTTTAAAAGAATTATTAACTGAATTAATCAGTTTGTGACGTGACTCTTCATAAGTGCAGATAAAGTGTCTGCATAGACTTGTATGAGATTAGCATTGTCGGGCTATTTCTTTGAAAATTTAGTAGCAGTCGTGTAGTTTTGTAGCAGCGCCATATTATGGAGTACATTAAAGTTGTGACAAATGTTTTCAAAATTTGTCCCAAATCAAAACTGTCAGATGACACCTGCTTTAGCTAAAGCTAAAGGCTTAGCTTCAGCAGGTTTTTAGCATTTCATTTCAGTGGTTACTAAATAAGTTATTAATTAGTGAAACCAGTAATAAACTGGAAGCTCAATTCATTCTAATCTATAAATTAGAATGAATTGAGCCTGCTTTAGCATTATTAAGCTTGGTTAAATGATGCTTTTGCGGTGTTTAGCTAAAGTATGTATCTTCCTATGTTATTAAAACACAAGGCCAACATGAAATGAGGGTGTAGATAACGTTTCAGTGGCTACTATATGGAAGTTAATTTGTGAAGCCAATAATAAACTGGAACAACTGTGGGTTTATTTATAAACTAGAATGAACTGAGCAAATCTTTTCAGGAAAATGTGTTTATTTTTACATCATTTAAAGGCCCTGAGTAAAGAACAGAGAAGCTCCAAACATAATAAACATTTGCAGTTATTTTATTGATGAATAGTTACGTGTGTGGGAAAGAATTCCCTTATGTTGCGAACCTCGACTAACGACTTCAGAGAGCCATGACAGGAATGATGACCTTTTCTCATGCAATGGCACATTCCTACCATAACAAAAGTGAAATGGACTCAGGGTAACTAAAGCATGCAACATGGAGACACAACTTAGTGGAATTTATGGAAACTTCCACCCAGCCCTCATCAAACGCTCTTATCCATCAAGGACCAAAGTGCATCTAAAAAGTTCAAGAAAATATTCCAAGGTCAGGAGGATGGGGTAACGCAGAGAAGTTCAAGAAGAAGAAGGAGAAGCTAAATCAACAGCGTAGAGTTTTCTAAAAGTCATCTAGAGGTCATTACTTTGTTTACATTTTTCCGCATCATTTGTAGAAATTATCATCCCACCTGTAATTATCCAATTACTGCCATGGCTAGGAAGCGTGTGCATAGAGTAAAGCATAGCATTTGTTGGGAACTGGCGTTGTCGGTATTGTCCACCACACAGCACCAGGGACCGTGTGCCACCCGAGGGCGTGTATCAGCGTCTACTGACTTGCGCACCTGGAAATCATCCTGTCATCAGGGGCTGTATAACTGGAGGAGACTGTGGACACCTCTCTGCCAGAGTGTTAGCCAGTTATGGTACAGGCTCACCCACGGTCAATCACCAGATCTGTAACTAGATTCTGATTTGTTGCGTCTCTGCTCTTTTTTCAGGTGTCTTTTTTCACTGAAGCCCTGGTGAATCCTGATTTTTGCCAAGAGTTTGGCTCCAGAACCGCTCCTCTAGACGTCGTGGGTTAACCCCCCCAACAGATGCTAGATACACGCCACTTCATCTGTTGTAAGATCCTTCCGGCCCTTAAAGTCGGCACCTCTCCTCCAAGTAAGATAATTTCCAACCTCCTACTTACCTGTCCGTCCTCCAACAGCGCCCCGCTCTCAATCCACCGACCAACTGACAACGAATGGACAGCGGATGCCGACCTGAGAACCAGCCAGACGAGCCCGGACTGTTATCCAGCGTTATTGTGTTTACTAAATTAAATATCTTAAACTATACCCTGTCTCTGGAGTGATCTGCATGTGGGTTAGAAGATTAGACACCAACATGACAGCATCCACACATCCACTTCCCTGAAATGGTAGTTGAAGGAAAAGGAGCAGAGAGCTGACCCACAGATCATTTTATATTGATGTCTGAGACATCTGTGACTCTTTGTGAAATCCATTTCTGTTCTCTAATGGGAACTCCAACAGCTGCTAGCTTCCACACTTCACTTAGCAGGACAAACACAAGGGGCTTGCGAGTTGGATGGGGGGATGAAACACAGGAGTATGATAGGACTACGTGTTCTAGATGCTTACTAATTTATTGATCTTTGCTGTTTTAACACAACAGGCTTCAAGGACATAATGGGTCGACCCTTTTTCTCCTCTTTCACACTATTTTGCTGCAAGGTATACACTTTCTACGGTACAATTCAATTAAGTCCCATAAAGCAGGTCCTAATGGGAAAACTGTACATGATTTACTCTTCAAATGAGAAAGCAAGGGCACTTTCAGGAGCAGATTCAAAGTGGTAACTCGAGAGGTAAAAAGCACAGGACACATTCCTGTCCATTCGTCACTGACAATTACAAAGGCGAAACGCAACAATCGATAAACAGAGGAACTTTACGAGCATCCATGATTCAAAGAAGTGATGGATCTACACACATGCTGTTTACCGTCAGTCAATATACATTGACTTTCACAGTGCTCTAAACCTCCGTTGGGGCTGAGGAGCACTTGGCCCCTGAGATTGCACCGGCCATCAAAATGCAATATTTAAACATTGGTATAGGACATTAGTTTTAGCCTGAAGATGAACTGACTAAGCTTTCACTGGTTTACTTGAAACTCTGACCTGCCAGTTGTGACTTAACATTAGGCAATTTTATTTGTGACTAGTCATTTGAACTTTATTTAATCTTTGATCATGACAAAAAAAGGTTTCTTGATAGAGGCAGCAGTTTTAAACCCAACACAAAATGAATGGATTGTGAAATGTGTAATGAATTATGTGTAATGAATTATCACCATTTGCGCACTGTAGAATTAAAGTACAAAGCTAAGTTTGAAAAAGTTTGTGGTCAGCTGAAAAGACACAAGGTTGTTAATAGTGATTTTTGTGATGTGAAAAAAAATGTTTCAACCCCAGTTTTGTGGAATATATTCATTTCAACATTTACGAAAAACCACCTCACGATAGGGAAAAATCATTTTATCAAAAAAATGTTTGATACAAATAGGCATGTTTACATGAAGCAGATTTGTTTTCCTAATTCTAATTTGTGAAGTTATACGAACAATGGAAATGCAGGTAATAAGACTATTATTTTAAGCAATTCTTTCACACTGTGTAATGGAGAGCAGACACTGTAAAACAGGATTTCAATATAAAAAGGACAATTAATTTATAAATTTGGCATGTTTCATGACAGAAGTTAAAAGCTCTTATGGTTAAAAAAAACCCTGAAATTTTTTATTTTAATACCTTCAGTTCGCCTTTTATCTACTGACGTCTCACTCTCTCACTCTCTTACAGCTGGAGTGGACCATAAAAATGTCTCAAAAATACATTTTCTTTTTAAATATCTTCTCACGTCTCTGTACATCCTCTAACTTCCTTTTTAAAACATCCTACTGACAAAGATTTTACTGACAACCTGGTAGTTTGATGAATCCACTTGTACTGAAAAATTCAATTTTGGAGTTTACAACCTGTTGTTTTTCAAAGAATATTCAAAAACAACAACAACAAAAATTAAAACAGCATAAAATGGAGATCAGCAAGTTCAAAACTTTGACTTTGATCACCAATATTTACGGTGCACCGATCAAACGTTTTTAATTTCAATCTGAGACAGCAGTCATGTTTTATTATCTTTAAAAAAAAACATGTTACATATATATTGAATTTTTTTTTTCTTGTGAAAGAAAACTTATCTAAACTGTTATCAAAGCAAACAGTTTAGACAGCTTATTGAGGAGACACTAGAAAATAGTGCATCCACTATTGGCTGTTTTATGATGCATCATTACAAGTCATGTCAGAAACATTACTACACTACTCATCTGTTTATAATAAGCTGTAAATCTAATATGATTGCTAATATAAAAAAGCCACAGACAAAACAACTTATTTGCAGAAACTAAGGATTTGACTGCCATCCTTTGCTAAATACAAAATAAATATTGGTCTAACGTGTTTCATAATGTTGGAACACTGAAAGTCTCCCACCATAATAAAATGAAGAAACAGTAACGCATCGTGCTGAAACCTTTCCTCTTGAAGCATTTTCACCAAAACTGTAGTGATCCCGTAACTATAGAAGAAAAATCAGACGGCACACATGGAAATACAAACAACCTTTACCGGAAAATTTTCAGCTGTCACTTTTCTGGTTTTCAGATAGAAACTGCACCTCTTAATCTCAAAGTCAACCATGTTTTATCAAACGATATGGAAGCGGATTTCTGTTGATTTCACTCAGCTATTTTTCGTCACAAAACATTCTATCTTGTGTATTTTAAAACACAACATTAGATGTTAATCTTTGCAGACTGCCCCCAAAGTTAAACTCATCAGCTGGCAGCAAAGACAGAAACTGAAACACTCACACTGCTGCCTTCCAGTTTAACTGGGAAAACTGTGACTAAACCGTTTACACAACGGTTTAGTCACGACGTGTGCAAGGTATCGTAATGACTAACACATCGACAACTGTCTGTCTGGGGAAGCTCCACCGCAAGTTATGATTTAAGACAACAACGCTTCTTTATGTGGCTTGTCGTACTGTGTAGACTGATTTATATGTATGACCCAGCATGGCATCCAAAAGGAGAGAAAGAAAAAGAAATCTATAACAAAAGTCCAAGAAAAGCCTATGGGATTGCAGTCATTTTTTATGTACAGCAGAGAAAAACAACAGGAAGCACTTATGTAAAACTGTCATGCCTGTAGAGACTACACAACAAAGTGATGCAGCAGCCCCACTGTGATAATTGTTTGCCCAGCGAATGATGACAGCTTGGTAATAAAAGGCAGCAGAAAGTGCAACTTGGCTCACCTGCCAGGCTCCGGCTTCCCGTTTCCTCTGAGGCTGAGCGTATCAGCGCCTTGCTGCTTCAGACAAATTCCTCAGCGCATCTTCCATCTGCACGGGTTTTTTTCTGCAGAAGAACAAGATGGTGAAAAGCAAAAGAATTTATCACATGGAATGAAAAGCGGAAGGAAAAATTTCTCATTTAGAATAAAGGCAAACATTTTTACATCATATGACAACTGAAAACATTGAAGCAACTTGTTGACAACATAAATTAGAAAGAAAAAAAGATAACAAAAGTTGCAAGCACACGTGCTTACAGCTTGAGTTTACCAGATTAGTAGAGATTAACTGATTTCCAGCTTGATCGGCCCGATAATTTGAAACTTAAAAATCAGATTTTTCCGTTCAGCTACCACTGACGCATGGGCATTTATCATATTGTCATCTTGACACCGTTTTCAACTAATATAATCATAATAATGCGAGTTAGCGTTCTCTCAAAGACTAGACTGGACCTGAAAGACATTTTGAATATCCAGCAACTGAAACCATAAATAAAATCGCGCCATGATGTCTCTGTAAATTGAACTGCTCTTGAAAAAATACTAATTATCAGAGTAGTAATTAACTTATCATGCAATTAATTGACTAACTTCTTACTGCAGCAGGCTTATCAAATCTCAATATCGGTCCAGACTTTCATATCCTACACTGACAGTAAATGGTATTTGGCATAAATAAACTGATAAAATGCTGCCTAGTCTTGCATCTGATGATTACTTCTAGAAGAAGATGTAGCAGAGGGTGAGGGTTATAAATATAACCCACTGCTATAATGCTCTCTCACTCATTGGAAGTAATAAAAGTACTGAGGTTTCAGTACTTTTACTGACATGCCAAAGATAGACCATAAGCAAATAATAAACAGATCTCTTCTCATAGTAAGCAGCAAAAACATTTCACGTCTTCCTGACATAGTGTGACAAGTCCAGACATAAAATAATTAATGTGATCTCTTTGCGGTCAGCGCTTCTCCTGGAGGACCCGACACAAAAACGTGTCTCGAAGCAAAACAAAAACAAAAGCGTGGCTCCCTCCTTGATGATGCACGATAACAATCATCACAGCGAAAGACAAAAGAGGCCGGGGTGAATTAATAACGCTGGCAGACACTAACAAGCAATTCCCGACCTCTCCTCCAACAACGGGCGTCATGTCCCACTTCTCATTAAAAGCAGTGAGTCAGCAGAAATTAGACAAGAATCACTACCCTCCCCTTAAATTCATCCCTGCGGGCGTGACATGCTGGTTTCACCCTCTCACCCCGCAGTCTGGCTCAGGCAAGAAAACAAGCTATATAAGGAAATGTTAGTGTTGAGTTCAGCTTGTGGTTCTAAACTATTAGAAATTAAGGGCCTGGAGGAGGGGAGGCTGTTGATACCAAAAAGTTTTATTATTATTTTGTGCTCTAAGACGGCACACTTGACAACATGATTTCATAAATAAGCACATAATCCATCCCAAATATTGGTTTCTTGTGCTCACAATGGGTGAAAGGAGGCAAAATTAAGTTAATATTTGACTTTGTAGATTTTTTACGTCAGCGTTTCTATGAAATAATCACTGGATGGCAATAATAATCCTTACATGTCTGAAGCTCAAACCAAATATCACTTACATAAGCCAGACATTGCTTACATAATTTAATACAGACGAAGACAATAAAGTTAAAATGCGCTTAGGGTAAAGTGCTTGGGTCTGAAGTGCCCCCAAGCATGAGATAAAAAAAAAAAAAAGGCTCCAGGTCAAGCCTCCCCTGGGTTTTTCGTTTACTCTTGGGTTTTTAGAGCTGATCACTTCCTTCCTCCTGCTTTAATTGGCACAGCACTGCAGTTACTTCTTCTTTTTCAAAGAGACGGGCGGTCAAAACATTTCCATGTGTCTGCATTTGACACACAGCTACCGTGATGCAAACTGTTGTTCCTTCAGGACCTTATGCTTCTCAGACTGCGGTTAGGATGATACGGTGGACATCTTTTATGTATAAAGCTGAGAAAATACCAGGTCTGGATTGAACTTGGCAATGCGTCATCATTGGACGTTACAATTTCATAGACTGTCAAAGCGAGCTTTGGGCGCTGTGTATTTGTGGCAAGGCATTTGATGTTAAACTGAAGCAAGTACTGAGATCCCCATGAGAAGGAAGAAAAAAAACATGCATGCCAAGCTCAACACAACCTGGATCAAAGACTTTGCATTACGCTAACCCCCGAAACCACATGCGATATAACAGGATTTGACTGGGAAACAGAAAAATTTCAGAGATTCTCGTCACACTAGATAGGCAAAGAAATTGGATTCAAAGGCATTTAACGCCATGCTGCCTGTTGTTCTCAGGTGCTAAATTCAATTGCTCATTTCTTAATACAAAAGTTTCCTTTGAATACTTACGTTTCAACAGCATTAACAGAATTTTAATCTTTACCTTTAAAAATGTTCAAATACCAGATGGATGGATTCAACATGTAATTAATGATACAGGGATCAAATAGAAGTCTTTTTCTCTCTCTGTGTGTGTGTGTGTGTGTGTGTGTGTGTGTGTGTGTGTGCGTGCGTGTGTGAATATATTTTTGCCTTTGATCTATGCTAATCCAAACCTAAATAAAAGCTCAAATCAATTTCCAAATATTTTGAGAGTGTAGGAACCCTGTATTCTTTCCCATGAAAATATATGGAGTCACCGGTCCTCTAAAAGAAGCAACATTATTTCTTTAGGCCAATGTTCTACATCTTCAAATTTCATTACTATGAGATCATGAAATGGAACAAATGTTGCAACTTTGGACCCCAATAGAACAGAGTGTATCAGGTGTGAAAACACTCTATTATCATTTTGTCTAAATGATACAGGAAGCCACAGGATGGGCAGCTAGCTAATCCATAGTGGATTTAGGCCAACTGATAAACCAAACCCCACAGCAATTTGCTGATAATCTGGAAAAGAAATACATATAATACCTCCATTCCAAGCCAATGACAGCATAAGCAAGTGACTATTTTCCCAAACATTACATCACAAGTGAAATATCTGGCAAGTGATTGAATTGCTGCAATCATTGTGAAAGAAAGAACATAAAATGTCCAATAAAGGGGAGTGAGGTTGAGTAGCACATTAACAATGTCATAACAATACATCTAAAAACAGAATGGACAAAGTATCAGATTTGATCATAGATGCAAGGTTTTGCATCACTTTCACATGACAAATTTGATTCTGGAAGACAGAACGTGAGTGTGACATGTTAGAACCTCTTTAAACCCGCAGGCATTGCAACGTATTGCTTCCCCCCCAGAGGTATTTATACATTTTCTCCCTCCATGCATCACGATCGTCTGCACAACTTTCTTTCGGTCGTGTCAGTAGGCGCGCAGTTGAAACCTCGGGGTGGGCAGCTGGCTCTACATCTGACGTATTCAAGGACAAAAGGGAAACTCCAGATTGTCGTGGTGAGGGCAGCCACCCATGGCACCGCTCACTGGGGTTCTGGTTGTTTATGGTCGGCACTAATTGCAGGTCAGCAAACTCACTGAGCTCCAGTAACTCCAGCCGGTACTTAAGTAACTGAGAACTGCGGCACTTTTCTTAAGTAAACAGAGAAACTGTGTCGAGATGAAAACCAATAAGATCTCTCTTTGAAATCTGTGCTGTAAAGAAATGCTTGACACAAACATAGCAGCCCACATAAGCACTTAAAAAGTTTTAACTTGCATAAATACTCTTACAAGAAACTGAAATTAACATTTTATCCAGTTCCAACCACATCCTTACTTATTTTCTCTTCACAACTATGGCATTTGTGTTGGTGTATCATAGAAAAGTTGTGTTGATAAGTTGAATCATGTCCATGTTTTTTTCAGGGTAAAGCAAAGTATATGGTCTAATAATTGATCAACAGCTACAGTTTAAGTATGAAAGTATGTGTTGGTTCTACCATCTCAACATCAAATCAATACTGTCTTTTGAAGAATGCTCCTCTCATCAAGATGTGTGACCTCTTTTCAGAGCCAAATTATTGCTGATGCAATAACAGTAAATTAACATGTGCTGCTCAACTGGCTGAGATGTTATTGCCAGTAACTGCAGTGTGTGCAAAGTCAAAACGTTGTTAAACGGTGAGGGTTTGTAAATATTGGATGGGTATAGATTGGGGATGCACAATTTGAGGTTTTCCTAGTGACGAGTGATTTCCACTTTTCTTTGGTCCTCTTCGGTTCAACTTGTGATGATGATGTGGTTTTTTTGTGCCAGCCCTATTTAGTCCACTTTAATCTAACTTTTGTTTGTTTGCCTAGAAAGTTCAGTTTGTTTGGGGAAACTCTAATACAAAGCAAAAAACAAACTCTGGCCTGCCTAACAGCCTAAATTCTGGCACGATTCGAAGGCCTGAAAGCAGAGGTCGCTCCAAAAGCAAGAAGCAAACTAAAGCGCAGGGCATTCTGGGTAATTGTAAATGCAAGAGTCTCACAACATTGGGGAAAATGGCTTATAGTCTTTTACCAAAAACAAAAGAAAAATCTTACACCTGCTAATCTGACCCTTCTGCATTGTTGTTTAACTTTTGTTAAGGAAATTGCGTCCATGTCTTCTTTGGAGGTTTTGGTGTCATTTCCTTCAGTAGTTCTTGGTGCAGCGTCACCACAGTCGCCAGGATGTGGGGGGGGGCAGCGGTTTCTCAAAAGGTTTGGATTGTAGAATAGAGTATTCACACAACAGTAGAGTGTGAAAGTAAACCGCACTAGCAAAAAGTGGAACAAATTTTGGTCCCCAATTGAACCAAATCTTCCGGACTATCACGTGTGAAAACACCATTGACCATTGATTTTTTTGGGGATGTCATAACAATGCATCAGTTTTATAAGTATTATAAGAAAAACCTGGTCTTTGCAGTTATTGGCAACAAAAAATATCAAAAACTTTACTTGGTTGATGCATTTATAAATGGAAAATAGAAGTAGTGCTAGATACAAGAAAGTAAAATGAAATTTATTTGTATTTGTCCAACCATTCTTTAATCAGAGCCATGGCTGACTGACTGATGAATATCTAGATTACGTTTTGCAGTG